CGGCCATCCCTGTCTCCCTTGTCTCTGTTGGCAATTTCCTTCCGCCTGTGTCATTAGCCGCCTTGCGGTGTAGGCTCGAGTGTAAGCTCCAAAGACACCATGGATAGACGAATGTGTCCTCTAATTGATCGGTGTACGCCTTTTTTCCACTTTACAGTATCCATTTCGTGCGAAGGCAGGTTATTGTCACTAACTTGGGAAATCAAAAATAAAACTCAACTTTTCCTACGATTTTTCTACTTTTTTATACATCCGCCGCGGCCTTGTCCCGAGACTAGCGAAAGCAACATTAGTACGATGGCCACTTTTGTTTAGTATTTTTAATCGTGGATGATTCTTAACACCCTCTATAAGGTACAGATGCATTTATTCACAGCATAGGCGCACCTCTTCATAAACTGTAGTTTACGAATGGCGCTACTTTACCGCAGCAGGGATACCGTGAGAGAAAAAAGTGTTGGTGAATGTATTTACAACCAAACGGTCGAAAAATATGTGCCTTTCACTTTGAAGTGACTCTGAAGTCACGACGTCAGTAACCGTCCTTGGGGTCTAAATTTCCAGCACTCCAAGCAAATATCACGAAAACCTTGCTAATGCGGCATGTTTTCATGCCGAAAATCAGTCCCTTCAGTAGGTAGAACTGCACTTCTCTACAGATGTGAATTTTTTTTGATTTTAAGCGAAAAGACACAGTGCTTTGTCGGTATAAAAGATATGTTACCATTGATGTCAAATGAACATATTGTTTTTCACATTGGGAGACCTGTTTACACATAGAAAAACAGGTCTTTGGTGAACTACAATTTGTGCTCCTGAAAAATGCCAAAAGGCCATTGTGGTACAACCTTGTGTGTCCCTGTGTCAACAGTGGTTATATCCCCCAGTTGCGTGCTAGGAAGAGAAGGCAGACAGGATATCAGATAATAGTTTACCGTCACTATTTCTGCTTGTATATCAGCGTTGTCTTCTGTGTGCTCGTCAGCAGTGTGTCCTCTGTCGTCGCTAGCTCGTCTCGGCCAACAGCAGGTCTTGCCAATAGCAGCAGAATCTCGGGTCGTCGGCAGCGTGTCTCGTTAACAGAGTTCCGTGTCTCCCAGCAGCAGAATGCCCTTCTACTCGCAGCCTCGCTATTTAAGGGCCAGTAGTCATTTTCCCTATTGGCCTCTCCGCCAGTGG